ATTGGTTTTCTTTAAAACCTCAACATCATTTTTACTAATGCGACAGTAAAAATAAAATATTTTATTATTATTAACAATATTAATATCACTAATGTTGATATTGTTTTCAAAAACTTCATTGAAAAGTTTATCAAAACATCTCACCCACCTATATTGATACCTTCTTCTAAGAAAAGTTTTTTTTTTCATCTTTAATAATTTTTTATTTTCTTTATTTTTATTAGATTAATTGATGCATATATCTTTCACCTTTTTTAGAACTTAATCTATTATAAAAATCACAAAAAATATAATTCTTAACTTTGTTCTCTTAGACTCTCTATAGTCCAACTTATATTTTTCTTATTTCTCTAAGTTTTACGTTAAAAACGATTTTTATAACAAAAGTTATATTTTATCTTTTCTTGAAACATAATACTCATTAGACCCAGTTAGCATTAGCATCCGTAGCAATAGATCCTTCAGCTTCACTACGAGGAAGAGCATAAACTCAAGATCGAGCTGGTTGTCCTGATTGAACTTGAGTAAGGGCTGAAGTTGTAGACCTTATTCTTCTTTACCCACCTGCGAACTCCACCTAATTTCGGCTCTTTTGAGAATTACTGGCCTATTGAAAGATAGTATCTAGCAATATGGCCAAACGGACAACACCAATAACATGCACCCTTATGTTACCTTCCACATTTAGCATAAGTGACTACAATACTCTGAGTTGTACATCTACTTAATTCACCTGTACTTATTCTTCTTCCCAAAGGATCCCACTGCTTGATCCATGTGCCCTCTTTCATCAATATGCTTCCTCCTTTGCATCTCCTTAAGCTTCTGAGTAAGCTGATAATCAATCTTCACTCGTCTACTCGGCTCCACTAACACTAAATAATCACCAATCTCAAATAGCGCCAACGGTTGCTTGATCGAATCATTCAATCCCAAAAGCAACTTGTACACTTTTCTGCAGTAGCGATCAATTATGGTGTGTGCCATGATAGTGCAGTGAATCCTGCTTCGTACTGCAAAATTATTCTCTCCTTGCACCAAATTGATAAATTTGTCTTGCATCTATTTCCGAGCAGATAGAGGTGCAAACCACTCTCTAAAAAACTACACAAACTCCTTTAAACTTACCATAATGTTTGGTATGGCCCCTACTCTGTCCTAATATTTCCCTCACCACCATTTCAACTTCTCCCATCTAACAAAAAAGTAGCTAATGGCAAGGTTCTTTTATCAGGACATGTCAAACTATCTAATATCTTCTGATTCGTATTAGTCAATTCTCTACTTCAATTGAGCCTCCAGTTCCCTTAAATAATAGGGGATGCAAAACTTAAAATATTTTTAAATACTTATCCCCAAAAAGAGTCTCATTCCCACCAAACTACGGCCTAGACTCCTGAATCAATTATGCATCGCCGTCATCATCTAAGTAGTCAGGGTATCTGTGTTCAAATTTATAGCATGCGGTACTTCTTCATTTTCAAACACTCCCTTCAAATATAATCTTAGTTGCATCTAATTACCTGAATTAACATAATTACTTTTTAGAGTTAAATTTTTTATCTTATTATTATTAATTTCTTTGTAATATTATATTTGCTCTTTCATCAAAATTTCATTAATTAATTCAAAACTTTGCTCTATACTACTTTTGTCACAAATCGACTCGAAGCTTAGAATTAACAAAGTCGGGTACAGACGATCGAACGATAAAAATTAAATTAAAGGATTTATAAATTTATCTTAGGTCAGATTGTCAGCATTTTCTATAGACATTTCATTCTTTTATTGCTTCTTTTTTAATGAAATGAATAAACCTGAAATATTAGTTGAAGCCAACAGCAAGCTAAAAATGCCCGTGAGTACACCTATTTCTAAACCACAGTAACTTAACGGAAAATGACATATGTATGTCAGCTAAAACTTTTAATAAATCAATAAAAAAGTATTTGATAATTTAGGAATATGATAGATTACAATATTTCATAACATTTAATGTGTTTTATTATATTAATATGTTTATATCGTTTTATATATGTAAGTATAAATTGTGTCATTTAAGCTACTTTCATACCATTATCATTTGTTTATTTACGTGCATGGGTACTTTAGCATTCCTCTGTCAATACTATAAATGAGTGACTTTCATCATAGTCAAGCATGTACATGCAATCAGTCTATGCAGTTCACATCATTACAATTCTTTCAATCAACTCAATATATTTTGTATACATTTACATAATGCATAATAGTAAAAATTCTAAAATTTATATTCATTATAACGATATAACCATCACCTAAAAGAGCAATTAAATCGTAGTAAATTATTGCAATCAGGTTTCAATAATAATCAATGAATTCAATTTAGAGAAGATAAAAACTACTTTAACTTAAAAGTAAGAGTACTCAATATTCTCCACCACAAATTCTTTATGCTGCAATTCCTACAATTGAACACCTATAATTAGGAATTATTCATAATAATACATTTAATTATGATTAAATAATCTTTATTTATTTAATTTCACTATTTTTAGCAATTTTTATTTACGAAACGGTCATATATTTATTAATATTTTCTCTTTATTTTTTTTTTTTATGATTTTATTTCACTTAGACATGCTAATATCACGCTCATATATTGATACATTGTATTGCAATTTATTATTATTATTATTATTATTTGATTCTAATAAGCTCTAAATAAGTATGTTTATAGTTATAAGTCAAAATTTAGGATATAAACATGAAACACATAATTTATTAAATGCTTAATCAGTCATTTTAAGCTTGTAACAACATTAAACTTTCTAATTTAAAATATATTAATCCACTTAAATCCTAACATCCCAAATTATAATTAAACACAACTTCAAATGAATAAACAAAATATATAAAATAAATAAACCCTAAAACCCTTGTCTCAACATATCCAATCATTATGTTTGCCACCACTGAATGTGTTTCCTGCAACTAGCTCGCACTGTGCTTCTGCTTTATGCTTGACGCGGCCTCCGATGCGATCAAGAACTCAATTCCTTATCCTATACTACAAGATGCTCGCCCGAAAGAGTCTTCCCTCCTTCACTTGCTTTGTCGATTCCCATGATCTGTCCTAGTCAAGCTCGGATCGACCTCAGGCACCCTTCCTAAACGTAAGGCACACCTTCCCCTTGCTTTATTCTTCCTCGCTTCCCACCTTCGGGTTCAATCGCAAGTTCAGCCACCCTCATCGAACCCTAACGCCTTGCAACGCTCATACATTCTTGAATTGACCCATCTTCTTCTTTCTTCTCCCTCGAGCAAGCCCTCAAATTCACATTCATGCTGAACGACTTACACCTCCGTTGTTTTCTTCCAATGTATTGTTTGGCCCCGAAGATATGCTCAGCTCATAATTAGAGTCAACGTTAGGCTAGTCTCATGCTTTCTTCCTCTCAACGGCGACTCAACATGCTTCCCAAAATGTCAAAATCATTCTAGTTAAAACCGAAAGTTTCTCGTTACATTTTATAAAGGTGGAATGTTTGCATCCCTTGCCTCTCCCATTCAACAAAACTCCTCTAGTTTAATGGTGAAGTTGAAAAAAAAAAATTCTAAGCGTTACACATTGCACATTCAAAAAAATCATAGTGTGTTTACATCTACTCTATTTTAGATTGAATTCCAAGATTTCAAAAAGAAATTCTTGTTCATCTTTGTAAGTGAGTAGAAGATTTCACTACAAGTCTCATGTAAGTCTAAGCAAGCTATCGAATTCAATGTTAATCCTTTTTGTCCATTTTTGTTTTCAATTTTGATTTCATTTGAAGAGATATGTATGCTTATTTTGTTCTTATTATGTAATTGTATAGTTTATTTATGTCACATCTATAGTTCATAAGGTCGTTTTTATAGTTTTATTTAAGTCTCATCAATGTAAAGTTCAATAGCCTTCCAACATCCATACAGGGCATCAACAAGGAATTTGGGCCTACCGATTATGCTAAGAAAAGCACGCATGAATGATATCATAAAACACCACGACGAACATGGTCTTCAAAACCCATCATGCCAAAAAATACATGCATTGTCGACATTGTGACACCATGGACTGATCTTCGAACCCACCACACCAAAAAAGGCATGCATGGGGTCTTGCATAATGTACAGGAAGTTTTTTCACTGCATTTAAAAAACATGTATAAGTAAATATGTTTGAATTTTCCTACCATGCTAAGAAAAACGCAGAACTTATCTATTGTGTCGTAAGCATAGACCACAAAGTTCATTTACCGCACGAACAAGTTCTACTCATCGTACCAAACACATCATTGTCGAGATTTAGCAGTTTTTAAAGATTTCATTTTATTTCTTTGCATGTGAGGCACTGGCGGTTTGATAGTGATGAAACAATGAGATTTTGGCGAATACAAACACATTTTTTCTTCTCTTTTTCTTTTTTTCTATATTTTTATTTTTCTTTTACTTCTTTTCTCTCTCTTTTCTTCTTTTTCTCTCTTTTCCGGAATTTTTTTATCTATTATTTTAACCAACTGTATGTGTATTTGATAGAGGCGGGAAAGAGATTGAGAGAGAAACTGAGTGTGAGAGAGAGAGAGAGAGAATAATAGAGAGTGCGAAAGGTAGTGAGAGAGTAGTGGTAATAATAACTATTCATGGCTTCTGATTGAATTATTGATTGATGGATGAATGAAAATTACATTGCATAGCCAATTGAATGCAATTTAGATCCCAATTATATCGTGAATGGCTCCAAATGAAGAACACATTTCATTCTTCCTCACACTCCAATAAGGACAAGTCAGAGTTCATACATTATTTGTAATAAGCCTTCCAGAATGTGCAATCATTTCCAGAGTGCCATCATTCTAACAGAGGGAAATAAGATGTAAAATTGTTAGTAAAGTAATAACTAGTTGGCAAAATCTCGCAGCAAAGTAAAATAGTAAAGTACTTTAGAAAAAAAAAGAAAAATAATACTAATAAACTTCACCTACATCATTTTCTATGTTTTCAAAATCCTTCTCTGCAGATTCTAGCACTTGCGGTCGTTCAGATGTATTTTGTAAATTTCTATTGTCATCAATGTCAGTTTGTTTTTCATTCTCTTCTTCAGAAATATGTAAAATGGCTGGTTCGTGTTGAAAAGCACAATATTTTGTATGATAAACTTCTGGTTGTTCATTCTGCAGTGAATGCTTAACAGAATTCCTTTCATTTTTTGCTGAAGCGAGACCTCTAGTTCTGGTTTTGATGAACGGTCCAGCTTGTCCTTCAGAAGGTTTACCAGAGTTGTCATTCGCAACTCTTGTTCCAAGGCAACCCCATGACATTTCATCACTGCACAAATCGCTGTACAGATCAATTGAACCACAAACAAAAGGGCCATCAGAATATGACTTACAGCCACCAACTACTAGTGAATCCTCCTTAACATGCTGGTCCTTTCCAATTGAACCCAAGTAAGAAACCTACCGAAAATGAATGACACAGGATCAAAAGTAGTCTACATGGATAGATTAACAGTTTATAATAAGTTCTGAAGTCTTGAAACTATTAAATAGCTTTGTACAAAAATAATAATAATAATAACAAAAACAGTAAAATGGTTACTTCCAAATGAAGAGACATGCTCCTTTATTTCATACTCCTAGTTAGCCTAATTTTCCTCAACAGGGGATTCAACTTATACGTGCCTGTGAAATCAACCCAGCAGCAGATTACATAATGTTTGGTGGAGATATGGCCTATTGTGTGATTCTGGATCACGAGTCATGTTACGAATCTCATTCACTTTAAAATGTATTTTGCAAAACAGCTTTCCATAAGTTTAATCGGACCAACATTGCACAATTAAAAAGATGGCATGCTTTTCTTTGGCAACCACAGATAAAATAAATAAGCTTGAATGCTCCAGAATGCATCTAGTTGATGTGTAACCACCCTAAGATGCATGCCAAACTACAATCCACATATAAGAAAATTAAAGAAACTCAAAATAAAATGAGTGAGCAGCATTCGAGAGCACTCCAATAATTGAGCTTTCAGAAACAGAAGAAAAATGTGAAAAAAAACTATCCTCTAAAATCTATTAAGAGTTTAAAAAAGCTGCCTTACAGAATCAAATATTTGTTCTACGGGAGCAATTTCAGATAGAAATTGTTGTGCTGCCTCTACAAGATCATAAATCATAACTCGACCTTCTCGAGAGTAAATATTTGCCTGCATGGAAGTTATCAGGACATATGGGTTAGAAGTAATATCGTAAGCTAAAAGCCTATCTATACATAAATTAAAATCCTTTTGGCCAGGACTAATATCCAAGTGGGCAAACCAACCATTTCAGCACATAAATCTAGCAAAAAAAAAGAGGCAGAAGGCAACAGCTTAGAAATAGCAATTATAGTCACAGATAAAATCACAACGTAGTCAAAATAAAAGAAAAAGGGAAGATATACATACATACCACTCAATTCTTATGTACTTACATATCATACACCTAACTTCATTTTTACAAACATGCCACCCTCTCTATAAATGAAAAAGTGCATTTAACTTTTTAAATGTTAAAATGGTGGTATTTTTTATGTGATATGAAAGATTTGGGAGGTATAAATGTAAAAATTAATGTTTAGGCGTTAGATATGTAAATATATAAGAATTGGGTGTTATATATGTAAATGTCCCAAGAATAAAATAATAAACGCTGGATACATGAATAAGGATATTAGGATATTTGGCTCACCTGATCAACAAGTAAAGAAAGCAAGCGATCAGCATCTTTCTTTGATAAACCCTTCTCTGGCACTATTTGTAACTTAGGACACTTGTGAGGATAACCTGGCAACAATCTGAAATTTTTTTAAGGGTTAACTCCAGGATTATGGAAAAAAACTTCAATACTCCCGGGAAAACAAAGCATGACCTTACTAAAAGAAGAGCTGAAAGATCGAACTCTTCAATACGCATATCACTCCAGTAAGGCCTGTTCATTGTATTTTTCTTATAAGCAAGTATGCATCATCAAGCTAGAAAATTTTGTAAAACAAAATTGACAGCAAATATAAAATGAGGCATTTACATGCACACCAACCAATTCTTATGTCTTTATATATCTAACACCTAGACTTTGCTTTTTACCTTTATACCACATAAATCTTTCATATCATCAAAAACACACAACTTCAACTTTCAAAAAGTGAAATACACCTTTCATGCATAGGTAAAGTGTATATATGTAAAAATTGAAGTATAGGCGTTCGATATGTAAATGCATAGGAATTGACTGGTTTGTCTGCAAATCTTCCAAATAAAATTATGAACCTGATATTTATTATGAGCTTAGTATGTGTTGCTTCAGATACAACTTTAATGTCTTCCTGGTAAATGGAACCCCTAAAACAAAAGCAAAATGATAGGAAAATCAAAATGCCGTAAAAATCAAAATAAAAAGGAAATAATAGAAATAACACAGCAAAAAACTAATTGAAATAGTCAGAAATGACCTGTTTTTTAATTAAAAACTATAGTTCACAGACTAACAGCAACTTCAAAACGTTTGCTGAACCTCAAGATCCTGACACGTAGTTACTAAAATTTTTAAGAAAAAATTATAATCCTAAATTAAAACAATCAGCCAAAAAAAAAGGTTGTATCAATGCGGACCATTGATCTGCCCGTCAACTAAAAATTAATCATGCCCAAACAACTCCCTCGAAAGAGAATAAAATCACCCAACAAGGTCAACTTACACATGAGATGCTTGACTATAGAAGCTTCTGCTCATGAGACACTTTGATCCCCCATAACAAATTAAATTTATGTCAAAGGAAAATCTCCAGAAAGCTGAAATAATCTTCATTAGGAAACTCCATAATGCTCAGCATCAAATCCCCAAAACTCAAAAAATATAATAACCATGATTTTTAAAAAAAAGGAAAAATTCTAAACCGTTATGGTTCGAACAAAACTGTTGGGACAGGTCTTTCATTAGGAGATGAATGTCTCCATTCAAACCAGAGGCGACTGCCAAAAGTGAGAGCAAGGGGAGAGTAAGGCAAAGACGAAAAAGAAAACAAGTCGAGTGCATCTCATACATGAGGAATGATGCTGCTACGGTATCCGTAGGGTTTGTCTACGGGTGAGGAGCCAAGGATGAATCATGCCGTTATGGGTGACTAATAAAAGCGACAAGTGGGGAGAAATGTGAGCGGCTTTGACATTTGCAAGAGAAGGGGTCACCGAATGCAGGTGTGACTAAGGCCCCGTTTGGGGCAGCTTATAACTGCAGGTGGCGTTTTCAAAACGCCGTCGTCTCGTTTGTTTCGTGCGTTTGGGTTGCTTAATGGGAAACGGCGTATGGGTTTGTTTAATAAACGTTGTCGCGGGATCGACCCCGCGGCCCGTGTTCTTTCGCCTAACTTTTACCCTGCTTTCCTCGACCTCTCCTCTCTCACGTCTCATCTGCCCTAGCATCGATCACTCTCGCGAACCCTTCAGTACTCTCTCTCGCGCCTCTATTCCTCTCACGCATGACATTCCCTTTCTCCTCTTCCTCCACCCTATGATCTCTGGTTATTATAGTTATTCCTGTGGTAATTTTTTATTAAATGGATTTCTTCCTGCGTAAAATCTACATTCCCTACTGTTTTTAGTTTTCTTTGTTTGATCTTCAATCTGACAAATGGTTGGAAGAGCTTGCTTCATTTGTAGATATATTTGTAGTTAATCATGTGGTATTTTTTTATGGAATGGTTTTAATTAGTTCACTAGCATTGTTTCGGGTACCTTGGTGTGCTTGGCACATTCGTTGCTCATGCTTGTTTGGTGAATTGTTCATTCATTTTGTGTGTTCAAATGAGCCTTTAAGCAACCTCAGGGCATTTATTACTTGCTCTAGAGATGATTTCTTGTTCAATTTGATGGGAGAAGTATGTTGAGTATGATGGTAGTTATAATGATTGTTATGTTGGCTGGTGGTGAAGGTGGTGGCTTTGGGCGTGTGTGGATGTGAGTGTGTGTGTTTGTGGCTGTGATGGTTGTGCTTGTTGGTGGCTTTGGGTATGTGATGTGTTTTGTTGGATTTGTGGATGTGAGTGTGTGTGTATTGATGGTTGTGGAGGTTGTGTAGGTGGTTGTGGGTTTTTTGCTTCTTGGTGCCATGTGAGGTCTGTGTTGGTGGTTGTAGGCGATGTGTTTGTTGGTGCCATGTGGAGGCTCTGTTAGTGGTTGTGGGTGATGTGCTTGTTGGTTGCTTTGGGTGTGTGTTGTGTTGGGCTTCGGTCTGTGGGTTGATGGTGGATGTGAATGTGTGTGTTGGTAGTTGAGGAGGCTGTGTTGGTGCCTATGGGTGTCGTCCTTGTTGGTGGCATGTGAAGGATGTGTTGGTGACTTCGGTCTGTGGGTTGATGGTGGATGTGAATGTGTATGTTGGTAGTTGAGGAGGCTGTGTTGGTGGCTATGGGTGTCGTCCTTGTTGGTGGCATGTGGAGGATGTGTTGGTGGTTGTGGGTGATGTGCTTTTTGGTGGCTTTGGGTGTGTGTTGTGTTGTGTTGTGCTTGGGTCTTCGAGGTTG